TGATACCAAGTAGAAAGAAAATGTTTTGAAAACGATGATGACAACATAAGTACAAATGTGCTTGACACAACAATTGTATGTATGGACTGTGATAAGAGTTGTAGGAGCTCCCAATAAAATGATTTAAAAAAAAAGAATATGCATGAAATGCTAAAATAAATGATCTCTTCTGGAAACCTTTTAACACTCAAATATTTTTTAGAAATTTAGGATTCAAGCTTTAACACATTTAAGTCTTATGGATATTGTTAATTTTTTTTTATTTATACTAGTACACAAGAGAAAAAATACATTAAAACTCAAACGAGACTCAATTGAAGTAAAACAAAATATACCCGTTTTGATTATTCGCTATCTTCTTCGACAGTGTACAATTGAAACAGTTTAAAAATTAATTATACTATTAACAATATACACCTGGTAGTAATGAATGCCAAGGTGTTAATAAATACTGCTGAAAAACAAAAAAAGACTATTTCTGGCTAAGATGGTTAAGGTTATGTGTCAACTTAAGTTATATAATGTATCATTCTCCAATTGTTTTATAATGTCAGTTTTCATAAAATGATCTGGTTTCTGGGGGGTAAGAAAACATGAAAAAAGCAAGGAGAGATGATAGCATTTCAATTTAAGATGTATGTTTGATATAGACACCCAAGAGATGCTATCTTACCTCAATTATATACTTCTCTAATGACTTGATCTCTTTAAGAGCCTCCAGATCCTGGTGTATAACCACAATTTCTTTCAAAGGATACTAGGAGTTAAAAAGAGGAGGAACAATTTAACTAAGCAATCAATGCTCTAAACAACAGAAAAATGGAATGTTAAATGTATTATTTGAATCTGAAGTATAACATTTGATTGTCTTGGCTACTACTAAGTCACAGACATCTTAGCAAAAACATTTTTTACATTATACGAATGCTGAAAAGTGTTTATATTCAGAAAACATCCCAAAGTCTAATTATTTAGTCTGTATGATATAAAAAACAAAAGTTTCAAACCTTTATTGGAATAGTTCTGCGATCTCGGATTACTCGCCCAAGTTCAATCACAGACTGCATTCTCAGTACTGCACTCTCAGTTTTCTTGTCCACCAATTCTTCTCTGATTGTAGAGGTAGGGATATGAAAGTAATTAGATTGAAAATCCCACAATAAAAGGTAGGCTTACCTAAGGAAGGGGGACAGGTTCAAGACCTAATTGCGTATTCAGCTTAAGACCTGGTGAGGTAGCTGTGAACGGATAAGTGTTTGAGCCTGTTCCTTAGTGCCTATCACAACCCCAACAGAGCTACTAAGGACCCATCTAAAGTCAGATGCCAGAGTTTTAAGGAGGGTATCCAAATACCTATCTCCAGTGATGGGATTCAGTTGGTTCACACCAGTTCACCAGAACCAATAC